GTAAATAACAAATTATTCCAACAAAACTAAATAGCAGTTGTATTGGTAATGTGAAGGAAACATACCACCAAATAATATTCTTATTACATTTTATTTAAATTTCGAATTTTTATAATCAGTGGTAATTTTTTTATTTTACACGACGAGTATACACGTCAACCGCACTTAACTGGTTAAACACGTCTCTGTGAATCTCTTCTATGGAGCCATCCATCTTTTTCAATACTATTAATGAAACAAATTAAAAAAATAAATAAATTACTTTATTTTAAGGAATTAATAATAGTACGTTATGCACGGCGCGGAGCCGTGCATAACAGACCCGAGGACGTGCTTTTATGCCGGGTATAGTGCTGAATACGCGAGAACTACCCAAACGAGAACTTTCTATACCGTATGGAAACACAACTCGAAAAACTATCAGTAGATAGTACGGGAGCGCTAGCCAGTTCGTGGCTTCTCGGTTTGTGCCCCGAGACAGACTGCTTTGATAACAGTCCAATTCGAGAACTAATCATTCTGATTGGTCGAGATCCTTATAGCCGATAACTCTTCCCGTCTCTCGAGTAGTCCCTTTAAACCAAATCGAAAGCGTTCCTTAGCGAATCGGTACGTAACTTTTGGGATATCCTCCACGGCCGCTTCCCCATGGCATCGGGCGACAGCTGGGCACCACATCCTTAACTCGGGTCAGGGGGTTCCTCCCCTGTCCTTACCGTATCAAAACTCTATCTCCGCCCGCTCTACAGACCTTTGCCCATCGCCAGCGTAGCGCCGATATCTCACTCGGGCTTCTGCCGGTCCGTGGAGATGTCTCCATCGGGTACTCTCCTCTGCCGTGCAATTCGGTAAGTCGAGACTCTCTCCCCACAGCAGATTCCAGCACCTCGACCTCAACTAAACAATAAAAAAATCTTGCGAGAGCATTGGCGTAACTATACGAATCGACCTGAGAGCGTAGTTTCTGAGCAGGGTGACGACTCGAAGGGAGCCAGAAAGCGAGAACGTTATCTGTATCGCTAGCCAGAGTCGCCTTGTGACCGTGAATCGAAACATCACGTTACGATGTACAGGGTGTCCCAAAATTCGATGATAATCTGGATGTAGCGAGAATCAGTTTCAAAAGCAGGTTACGAAAATGACCTTCGTTTTACCGGTCAAAATTCACCAATCAGAGTGTGGTGACAACGGAACTGGCAAAGATATGCAAACTCTGAGTTCTCTTCCTCGCTTTCGTTTCTCAGTTACAGTAACGACAGTGAAGCCAGTTCCTCATGCATACTAGATAATACGCTACCCGATGGGCTTTTGTTTTTAGCTGATTGATGAGAATTAAATAGAGAATGCGAAATCCCAATTACACGGTTTGTCTTAACAGAATATGAAAATGGCCGGAGTTTCATTCTGTCAGCACATTCACTCAAGTAGAAATGTCATGTCTAGAGTCCCTCTAGTCAGAGTCCGGCCAACACCCGGAAGGGACACCATGTTTAGGGCTCGTTTGGCGCCGCCATGACATTGCGCGCGGATTTTCAAACTATCAGTCTTTACCATCAAAAGACTCGGTCGAGTTTCGTACCAAGTATAGGCAACCCGCCGTACAGGGCTTGACACAACCCACACTACACAATGCGAATCTCTCCCATATACGTATTCACACACACCATTCTATTCCGGAAAGAACCCTCAAAATGGCGGAGCCAATCAGTAAGAGGCCTAGTCATGTCGAGTTATGAAAAGATCATGAGTTGATTGTACACTTTTCTGTACTTCCTCCCGTATATTATCCCGTACATTATCCCGTACGTTATTCCGTACGTTATCCTGTACATTATTCTCGGTCCTGGACAAGTTCATTTTCGTAGTATTCTGAGTCCTGTAGTTCCTCTACGTAATGCTGAAAAGTACGGGAAAAAGTCTTGAAAAATGCATCGGAGAAATTATGAGCGAGGAACACCAGGAAACGTAGGATATGAACGAGTTACGTTTGTACCTCGAAGACGACGGCGAAGTGCTCCTTCCAGATTTGGGAAAACGCTTCTTTATACACGATAGATCTCCCGTAAATCTACCATCGATCTACCGTGAACCTGACGTGGATCTACACCAGGCCCTAGGATTACGATTGATTTTCCGTATCAATTGTAATCAGATCAATCAACAAGATAGTCTCATATTACACAATCCTTCTACCTATGAAGATGTGCTTAGATATTACGTGATACAAATGCACTCTTGTGTGAATGATTATTTTTATTTAATTATAGTCAGTAAATCTCGACTCAAAAAGGAATATTATTAAGTTATGTTTGAGTGTCGAAGTGATGTTTCACTGTGTTAAGAGACATCGTGTAATTAGGACTTCGCGCTCTCTGTTTAATTCTCATCAATCAGCTAAAAACAAAAGCCCATCGGGTAGCGTATTATCTAGTATGCATGAAAAACTGGCTTCACTGTCGTTACTGTAACTGAGAAACAAAAGCAAAGAAAAGAACTCAGAGTTTGCATATCTTTGCCATTTCCGTTGTCGCCACACTCTGATTGGTGAACTTTAACCGGCCCCCGTTTAAAAACTGTGCACTTTTGAACAAAACGAAGGTCATTTTCGTAACTTGCTTCTGAACCTGATTCTCGCTACGTCGAGATTATTATCGAGTTTTGGGACACCTTATACAGGGTGTCCCAGAATTGCTTTTGGACCGGAAAGTGGGCGATGCCTGGAGGTGCCCTGAGTACCCTCCCGCAAACCGTTTGCCAAAATTCGCGATAATTTTTAAATGAGAAGCATTTAAGTGCGACCAATCAAAACGAAGGATTTCCGCGGATTCACTCGCGGATGCCAAAGATAGCTGCTTTGCAATAGCTTCCCACAAATTCCGCGTTTAGCAATTGTTTCATAGCCCGAGCGAGCGTCGCAGGATTTGTCGACAAACTACTAATATGGGCATGGGTGTGACTTAGGCTGGCGCAGCAGCTACACGTGCAACGGGCGATTGGCAATTGTTTCGGGATAGGCATTCAGCCAGATGAAAACCGGTACACGGTGTCCAAAACGTCATGCAATCAATTTTATAGCAGTCCTGAGGAAAACAGATTATTAAAGTGAGAGGGAGTCGGGAGGGTGGGTGATGGGACTGATGCATCAAATTTAAAATGAATTGCACTACTACAACTAAGCATAAAAGTATTATTTTTTCGTCCTGTGAATAGCCATATCGAATTTCCAAGACATCGCGATTGCTGATTTCAAAGTTAAAGAGTGCTCATCGATTCTGGAGACTGTAAAAAATACGTAAAATAGGAAAATAGATTAGGAGAGAAACACAAAGACACGTATCCTTTCTTTTCGTCCCTAGAATGTTCACACCAAGTTGCAGCACTTTGCGACTTTCGGTGGTAACATTTATCGACTCTGAACTTTGCAAAAAATACATGAAATAGAAAAAATGATCTGGGAAAAAATGCAAAAATACGTATCCCATTTTTTCGTTCTTAGAATGTCCCCACCAAGTTGCAGCCTTTTGCGACTTTCAGTGGTAAAGTTACGCAACACTTGTCGACTCTGAATTTTCAAAAAAATACGTGAAATTGACAAAATTATCTGAGAAAGAAATGCAAAAATACGTATCCCCTTTTTCCGTCACTCGAATGAGTATGCCAATTTTCAGACCTTTGCGAATTTCAATGTGAAAGTTACAGAGTGCTAGCCGATTTTTCATTCAGGATTTTTAAAAGATGTGAAACGCACATGGGTGGAGGTATACGAGAGGTATAGGTAGAGAGTAGATAATAGTATAGGAGAGGAATAGGAAGAGAATGGGCAAAGGTATACGAAAATTATGGGAAAGGTATACATAGAACTTAGGCGTATGACTTATGCCTAGCTGTAATTTGTAATTTGCGTAACTTTGCCACCGAGAGTCGCAAAAGGCTGTAAATTGGTATACCGATTCTTGAGACGAAAAAAAGGGATACGTGTTTTTGCATTTCTCTCCTACTTCATTTTTTCAATTTGACGTATTTTTTGAAACTTCAGAGTCGACAAGTGTTGCGTAACTTTACCACCGGAAGTCACAAAAGGCTGTAACTTGGTGGGGACATTCTAGGAACGAAAAAACGGGATATGTATTTTTGCATTTTTTCCCAGATCATTTTTTCTATTTCATGTATTTTTTGCAAAGTTCAGAGTCGATAAATGTTGCCACCGAAAGTCACAAAGTGCTGCAACTTGGTGTGAACATTCTAGGGACGAAAAGAAAGGATACGTGTCTTTGCGTTTCTCTCCTAATCTATTTTCCTATTTTACATATTTTTTACAGTCTCCAGAATCGATGAGTACTCTATAACTTTGAAATTAGCAATCGCGATGTCTTGGAAATTCGATATGGCTATTCACAGGACGAAAAAATAATACTTTTATGCTTAGTTGTAGTAGTGCAATTCATTTTAAATTTGATGCATCAGTCCCACCACCCACCCTCCCGACTCCCTCTCACTTTAATAATCTGTTTTCCTCAGGACTGCTATAAAATTGATTGTATGACGGTTTGGACACCGTGTACCGGTTTTCGTCTGGCTGAATGCGTATCACGAAACAATTGTCGATCGCGCGTTGCACGTTAGCTGCTGCACCAGCCTAAGTCACGCCCATGCTCATATTGGTAGTTTGTCAACAAATCCTACGACGCTCGCTCGGGCTATGAAACAATTGCTAAACGTGGAATTTGTGGGAAGCTATTGCAAAGCAGCTATCTTTGGCATCCGCGAATGAATCCGCGGAAATCCTTTGTTCTGATCGGTCGCACTTAAATGCTTCTCATTTAAAAACTATCGCGAATTTTGGCAAACGGTTTGGCACCCTGTATATACTGTGACGCGAAATTAGAAAAGAATCGAGGCACGATTCCACCCCCTCAAGGGCCAACCCTATTACAACTTTTCTGTTTTTGATTCTGTTGTTTTATTTTTCTATGTCCCATGTCGCGAATATTGTGTTCGAGGGCTTACCGAATCTCGAGAAGAACCAGCGAGGGATTATCGATGTGGGAGGAATGAGGACGAAAAGCTGAGTAACGTCAGGGTTCCAGCGGGGCCCTAGCTGCTCGCGCTGTCGCTTACCGCATCAATCACCTCGCGACTAGGACCACCTCTACGCATGATATCACCCGAGCTACATGAATTGGTCAACGCCTACCGAGTAACTAGCAGGGAGCTATTACTTATCCTGCGTGACAGAGACCTACGAACTACAGAGCAATGGTTGAGTGTTTGATTTCCGAAATACGTTGTATTGAGTTCAAGTTAGGAACGTGTTGCCGAGATACAAGAAGAGGTCGTTGAGGCTGTATTTTGGATGTGTCGCGATTGTAGCCTACGACAGTGCCTCCGTTCGGCCGAGAAGCCGCCTGACCATCCTCGTCCGTCAGGCCCACAGGATCACCGCTCATCTCCGCTCGGCTGATTTCGCCGCTGTGCGTCGAAGCTCGGGAAAGCTCGGCCACCTCCGTCAACGTTCGTTTCGTTCCGGCGCCGTTTTTGCCTCATCTGGGCACGCTTGCCCACGATCGTCGATCGATAAATCATTGTCATACAAAGCTTTGTATCCGCCGAACGTGCCAAAATTGTGAGAGAGAGAGAGAGGGAGAGAGAGGAAAAGAGATAGAGAGATCGACCGCTTTTGTTGCCGCCTTTTCCTGCTTTCTACCTTTCTATTGAGCTATTGCTTTATTTTCTTTGGCAAAATCTTTCGTTTTTCTTAATATTCTCTGCTTTTCTGATTGAAGATTATAGGACACGTGCACGGCTAAACCGTCCGTTTAGCCAGTGGCTAGTTTCCTTTGCCGTTATCAGGCGAATGTCCTTCCGCCTAATCTAGTATAAAAGAAGGATAGTGCCGTTAAAGTTTTATATTTTTGAGTTTCCGGTTTTGCGCTTTTCTCATATGATTTGTGATTTCCATTTTTCTGTAATTAACGAATTTTTTGTGGAATCTTCGTCTAGTGTACGCGGTCGAATCTGCCTGCCAGAGCATTTGTCCCTGGGTTGACCGGCTTTATTGTTCAACAGCCAAATTATCTTGCTGTCTATTTATATTTTGCCGATTATTATAAGATATCGTTTACTGAAAAATTACTATCTTTTCAAGACTGTATATTACCTTGAGATTTCCAAACCTGTTAGTTCAGTTGAATTTCGTCGCGAGCTCACACCTATTATTAGTCCGAATATGTGGAAACTTTACTGTTCTTTATCTATCTTTTCTTTTGAACTGTTATAAGCTGATTAAAATTCTCTTTTTTGTGCTGAGACGTTCTTTAATTTTTCTGAAGTGTGATTCCTCACTTAATATTCCTAGTTTTGTATGCGATATCTTCCACTCTTATTTTGTGAATTATTGCTGGTGGGCCATATCTGATTATCGTTGCTGAAAATTATTTTATTTTCACCTTTATATTATCTGTGGAACTTGGTGAATTTTGCATATCGCGAACGTCCCTCTGACGTGTCGCGTTCTCACCGCCCTCCGAGGCGACGGTTGCAACGGTAATGAAATACCTGTTCTAATATTTTATTTTTCTGAATGGTGATATTTGACGTGCCGTTTCATGTTGTCATTTATTGTGATCTTTACTATTTATTGTGCTCCATTTCCTGTATTCGCGTCGTGTGCCTGCGTTGTACAAATTTCGATTTTCGTGTTCGTGTGTCAACGAACCCGCGCCTTTTATTGTTCCTCGGATTCGCGCTAATTTATAATTTTGTTCGACTGACTCTTTCTTATTAACGGTGTCGATCGCGGTTATAATTTCGCGGGTGCGAGAGTTGGAATCGCGTATTAGTTCCGCTGCCGTTCCTTGCGTTCCGATGTTTGTTAATATTGCGATTTTGTTAGATTAATTTCAAAGACGATTTTGTGAGTTTATTTTGATTAGTCCAATTCTGCCGATTAAGTAGATTATTCCGACCATATTATTTGCCGTTGATATTATTCTTAAGGAGTACCGAGCCCGCATCGTTATCGCGTGAACGCTAACGCCTAACATCTTCCGCTGTCGCGATTTTCCGATAAATAGAATGCGTCTGTAGTTTCCTATATTATACTTTATTATTTTAATTCGTTTGCATTGTATAGCTTCCTTTTTTGATGGCTACTGTGAGTAGTATAAGTATGGGAGTTCTGGATATAGATTCCAGCACCGACATAATACCGACACTCCAGAGCCTTCGAAGGTGGGTGTCCGTGCTAAGTTACCGTCGTGAGCTCTACGATTTCTGGAAGTGACGTCATCAGGACCCTCGATTCCAAGAATTTTCGCTCGATTCCGGGAATTTTGCGTCACATTTCGGGAATTTTGCGCTCGATTCCGGGAATTACGCACGATCGAGAACCTTCTAGAACATTCTAGAACCTTCTAGAACATTCTGGAAGCTTCGACGGTTCGTGTCCGTGCTGAGTCGGGAAGGATCGTTCCCAGAGCCGGCGGTCCTCTCGCGCGACGTTTTGAGACAGCCCCTTGCCCCCCACCCCGGAAACCTTCTAGAACATTCTGGAAGCTTCGACGGTTCGTGTCCGTGGTAAGTCGGGAAGGATCGCTCGCAGAGCCGGCGGTCCTCTCCCGCGACGTTTCGAGACAGCCCCTTGCTCCCCACCACGGAAAGCCTTCCAGAAGCTTCGATGGACCCGTGCACGTTTGTGCAGGTTTCGGACGTCAGCCCTCAGCCCGTTTAACCTCGAACGTTATCTCGCAGAATTGCGCAGCATCGCTGATGCAGTCCTGCAGGAATTTTCCAGAATTTTTGTCCCTAGCTTCATCGCGCAGGCTAGTGCGTAGCATCTGTGAATCAGAGAGAGAGACGAGCGGCATCCCCTTTGAGCGCAGTGCCGAAAAGCGGTTTCGGCGACTTTTGCGTCGAGGTTGATTCCAGGAAAAACGATTCCCATGCAGATTTCAGACGGCAGGCGTCTCGACCTCGATCGTTATCTCGCAGTGGTCGCGCGTCAGCCTCCTCATCCCACTGAGAGGC